ACATAAAAAAAGAAACTGTCCAGATGTTTTGACTGAGAATTATTGTATTTGATACCTGGATGTCTGAGCATGAACTTTGATAACAAGCCGATGTTAACATCTGGGTCTGAAATCACAACTGTTTACAGGGGAAGTAATAAAAAGTCACAGTTGTAGTTCAGATTATAAAGACTCTACAGCATATTCAGTTCAAATGATGAAAGACTTTTGGATAAAACAATATTCAACTCTTTGCTCCAAACTTGGAATTAGCTTTGAAAATAAAAACAGCTCATCTGGAGAACGAGAACTCCACACACACGAGGGCGTTTTCCTCAAACATTCAACACCATCACAAAGCTGGGGTCACGCTGGGCACAGGAAGTAACCCAAACAAACCACACAATACAGCAGCCTTCAAAATTAAGCATGAAGCTAAGTCTGTGACATAATCAGCTCCTTCTTCTGTGTGTTCTTCTGTGCAAGAATGTTTTAGGAATGGAAGAAGGAATGGTCAGAACTGGTCATTAAACATATTTCTCTCATTTTAACAGTGTGATTCATCAAACTTTCAGATAGCTAAACTGGGATTTAAAGCATTAAAATAAACTGTTACAGTAATGTTTAATTAAACATTGCGTCTGATCGATAATGTGTGGGTGGATGACAGATTTATTTGAGCTTCCTGCGCTCTCTCTTTGTGCCTCTCGTCTCGTTCTCAGGAGCTTTTTGTTGTGATAGCTGGGATGAAGAGACTCACTGAGAGCTCATATCTGTGAGCAAAGTTCTTGTTGTTCCTCCAGTAAAAAAAAGCCCATCCAGCATTTAAAGTGACCAAAGAGGGGCAGGGATGAGCCTGTTCTTACTCCCGACAGGACAGAGGTGTCTGAACTGATTTTATAAGTAGGTTTTCCTTTAAGTTCAGACGTTTTTGTTTGTGTTGCTGCTGCTGAGCTGTGACACACAAAGGTTTTCCTAAATATTACCAAACTGGACTTTGAATCTTCTTTTCCACACTTTAAGAGCATTGATTGAAATGTTGAGCTTCTTTTGCTCCGCCTGCAGAAACTACTGACTCAGAACAGTCATGGTGTTTTACTAAAATATTTTTAAACTTTTTAACACGCGTTCTCTCAATTATAAATACATTTCAATGGGTTTTATCGCCATTTTCCCCATGATTGTGTAACATTAACGGTGTCTTCACAGAATCAATAAAAGCTTGTAGTAACTGAGTTATTTTATGAATCATTGACGTTCCCTGATGGGTTTTGTCCTCTGCCGCAGCCTGTCAGAATGTGTCTCCTCTCATGATACTTGACCTGTCTTCTCTGAGGGGCCTGTCTGTTGGAAGGCTGACAGAACGCTGACCTCCACCGCAGGAGTTAACCTGTAGCAAAGCGTGGGGTTAATCTTCTCTGGGCTCAGCCACGGGCTCCAAAGTTGTGCCTGCAGAGCTCCTCAGATCCAGTCAGGACTTCATTTGAGCCGAACGACTCCAGACTTCACTCAGGGGATGAAAATATCGGTGCTGTCCGGGAAGCTGTGGTGCGTCCACAAACAGCTGCTCCTCCTGCTCGCTCCACTCCTTTTCCTGCCGTTTCTTTTTACTCTGCCAGAAAAAGTGAGTAATCACACGCTACATGTGCACATTTACAATCTAAATGAAATATTTTCTCACTTGGAGTAAAATATTTTGACCAATTATAACCTTTAAGAAGGCAAGTGATGGATTTCTGTAGCTTCATGAGCTTAAAATTACTTTTGTAGTTGACTGTCCTCCAGTTTTTGGAGATTTTAAGCAGAAATTTATTTTCAATGGGGTATTAAAATGTTGCATCTCTTCTCCATTTCAGCTTTGAAAGGTTGAACTTTAGTTTATGAGTAGTTCTCCTGTTTTAAACTCAAACTGTGGAATTTTCTTCTCTCTGGTCTTTATAACATCTGTCTTGGTTTTGAAGTCAACGTACCTTAATATTGACCACGTGTTGCTCCGTTTCCAGGAGGGGAAATGTCTCTACGTGGTGGTGTTGATGGCAACATTTTGGTGCACGGAGGCCCTGCCGCTGGCTGTCACGGCGATGCTCCCAGTCTGCCTCTTTCCAACGCTGGGCGTTCTACCAGCCAAAAAGGTCTGCCCCCAGTACTTCATCGAAACCAACTTCCTGTTCCTCAGCGGCCTCGTGATGGCGTCCTCCATTGAGGAGTGGGGTCTGCATCGTAGGATAGCGCTGAAGGTTCTTAGTATTGTTGGAGTGAAACCAGCCTGGTGAGGAAACATGCATTATTTACTTATTTTATCTACTTCTACTTTATCTACTTCTTTTATTTACTTCTTTTAACTGGAATTCTTAGCATCCTAAAATGTTGAGAATTAAGCTTAAACTTACAGTACCTGATCTTTTTTAATAAATCTGAGTGCTTCTTGGAGCAGTTTTAGATTTTGTAATGAATTGTTTCTGCAGGCTCATCTTGGGGATGATGCTGACGTCATCCTTCCTGTCCATGTGGCTCAGCAACACGGCAACAACAGCCATGATGCTGCCCATCGCCAACGCCATCCTGGAGAGCCTGTTTGGAGACCTGGAGAGCCTGAAGAAGAAGTGCAAATCCTCCGAGGACCACGAAGGTGCTGTAATAAATGGTACTGTATCAAAATAAGTCCCATCTATGCTCTGTGTGATAAAAGTTTCAAATGTTTATAATAAATCACAGCGACATGTCAGAGGATGGTTACGTACTGTGTTCATGAATTCTGTAGAATATCAACAAACTCATTTTGGTTCTTTAAAGGACATGTTGCAAAATAATTAGGGTTGTTGGTTCAAAACTCGATGGTTTTTGGTTCACTTTATTTTTATCCGCCTCTCACCAAACAACTTGCAAACATTATCATCAATTAATAAACTGCAGAAGTGGAAAAATTGTTAAAACAATGTATTCATGCAAAAGTATCTATGCTACCGGTAAGTTGAAAATCTACTCAAATGCAAGTAAAAAGTAAGACATAAAAAATTACTTTGAGTAAAAGATACTTTGTTGTGATTTTTCATCACAAGGGAATCACATGATTTAATATAAAATTACAAAATAAAAGAGTCCACAGATGATATTTAAAGAATAAGTTGCCATTTAAGTGTGGACCGTTCCACGGTTCTCAACTTGTTCAATAAAAAACATGCTGAAGAATAAAAACACACAAAGCAACAGGTAGAACAAGAAAGTTTCTGGAGAAATTTTGATGGGGACTGTCATGTTGTGGACATTTTAAAGCTTTGATTTGACAGTACTATGTATTGGGCATTGCTCTCAGCTACACCACACCAAATTTCAGCTCAGTAAGGCAAAAAAAATAAATAAATCACCAAATTACAGTAGGGGCCTGTGTGTGTGTGTGTGGGGAGGGGGGGGGGGGGTCCTTTAAGCTATGGTGGACATCTTGAATTTTTTTAATTTAAGTTCAGTATTTATTGAACATTGCTCTCAGCTACCATCCATCCATCATCTTCCACTTATTCCAAAGTCAGGTCTCAGGAGCAGCAACTTGAACAGGGAGGTCCAGACATCTCTTTTCACAGCCACCTCTTCCAGCTCTTCTGGGAGGATTCCAAAGCATTCCCAGGCCAACCAAGAGACATAGTCTCTCCAGCATGTCCTGGGCCTTCCCCTGGGTCTCCTCCAAGTCGGACATGTCCAAAGCACCTCACTAGGGAGGCGCCCAGGGAGCATCCTTACCAGATGCCTGAACCACCTCAACTGGCTCCTCTTGATGTGGAGGAGCAGTGGTTCCACTCTGAGTCTCTCCCAGATAACTGAACTTCTCACCCTATCTCTAAGGGGAAGTCCAGCTACTCTGCAGAAGAAACTCATTTCAAACATCTGTATCCACATTCTCATTCGCTCGTGACCATAGGTGAGGGTAGGAATGTAGACCGACCAGTAAACAGAGAGCTTTGCCTTACAGCTCAGCTCTCTCTTCACCACAACAGACCAGTACAGAGTCCGCAATACTGCAGACGCTGCACCAATCCATCTATTATTCTCACACTCCATTCTTCCCTCACTCGTGAGCAAAACCCTGAGATACTTGAACTCCTCCACTTGAGGCCGAACCTCACCCTCAACCTGAAGAAAGCAATCCAACCTTTTCCGGTTCAGGACCATGTCCTCAGATTTGGATGTGCTGATTCTCATCCCAGCTGCTTCACATTTGGCTGTGAACTGCTCCAGTGAGAGCTGAAGATCATGGCACAATGACGCCAACAGGACCACATCATCTGTCAAAACAGAGTTGAACTCCCTCCGCCCGTTGGCTGCACCGAGAAATTCTGTCCATAAAAGTTATGACCAGAACGGGCAGCCCTGGTGGAGTCCAACTCCCACCCTGAAGGGGTCAGACTTACTGCTGACAATGCGAACCAAACTCTTGCACCACTTGTATAGGGACTGAACAGCCTGTAGCAACTGGCACCCACCCAGTCACATACTCATGGAGCACCCCCCCACCCCAGCACCCCCACAGTGTACCCCAAGGAACACGGTCAAATGCCAGCTCCAAGTCCACAAAACACATGTAGAATGGATGGGCAAACTCCCATGACTCCTCAAGTACCTTAGTGAGTGTAAAGAGCTGATCCAGTGTTCCACAGCCAGGACAGAACCCTCATTGTTCCTCCTGGATATGAGGTTCGACCAACAATCGGTTCTAAGCTCCCACCACACCAAATTTCAGCCTAACAGCTCAAAAATTGCAGATTTATACTATTTTTCCTTTTTAGCTCATGCAGCCTTCTTGGATTTTTGATTTTCATTGGGAATGTACTAGAAAGTTCCTGGAGAAACTTTGATGAGACCGCCATGTTCCTACCATTTTAAAATTTTGATTTGGAAGTGCTATATGTGTGTGTGTGTGGGGGGGGGGTTCTCAGCTACCACCATACCAAATTACAACCCACTATTGCAAAAAATAAAAGCTGGCCAAGCAGGCAGTTCGTGCACTTGGCAATTGTGCACACACTCAGGTTTAATAAATGAGGAAGATCCTCCTTCAGGACCCATCTTCACTTTCAGCTGGATCCGATCCAGTCACTGCAGGAGCACATATTTTCCTCCTGATTTTATTTATAATTAATTAATTAATAACAGCTTGAAATGACAAGTACAAGACTTACAAAACACTTAGATTTAAATAATTGTGTAGAAAAGTACAAAGTAAACAAAATTTATACTTAGTTACAGTAATGTGAATAAATGTAATTTGCTACATTCCACCTCTGATAAATTGAATTTTTATTTGTGAATATTTAGAAATAACTTCACAAGAAATTGGTTCAACAAACATGTTAACTCAAAAAAAGTATAACCATTATGAAGTCATGGCACTAGAATGCTGCATGCATGGTGTGCTGTAAAATATATTTAAATATATTAATATATATTTAAATGTTTTATATAAATCATATTAAAATGAAGGTATTGTCAGTGAAATATTCCCTAGAATATATCCAGACTATCATGATGGTTGTATTGAGTCTTTAATGAGTAATCTAACATGTGAACTTTGTGCAGTTTCCAACACACTGATCCTGGAGTTAAACCTTCAGCAGTTATTGATTCATGCTGTTTTGCATAAAATACATATATTCAAACTACATCCCAGAAATTGACATTTCAGATTTTTATTTTCGAAGATTACTGCTCTTTTCACAGACTAAGCCTGATGTTTCTTTCAGGCCAGTCTTCTGTGAAGCTGCATTCTCTGCCGTCAGAGCCTTGTGAGAAACAAACGCTGTCACCAGAGTGGTAAGAGGCACAGAGGAGCACATCTGTTTCATGCAGGATACAACCACGGACTCTGGGGAAAGTTTAGTATAAAGACTGGAAACAGGAGACAGTTACATAATAACTATACTCAGCCTGGTTCATATTCTACCTGACTGACGAGAGTTTTTCTGTTCATTTAGGAGAATGTTCTTCGTCTGCGGCTCCTCTAATCTGTGAGGTCCCTCAAGGATCTATTTTAGGTCCACTGCTTTTTAATCTTTACATGTTGCCTTTGGGGTTCATTTTTAGAACATATAACATCTCTTTTCACTTCTTTGCTGATGACATTCAGGTATCTGCCCATTGTCAGACAGGGTTACTCCACAAGAATCACTCTTGAACTGTCTAAACGACATTAACCTAAAATGTCTGAATCTAAATGAAAATAAAACTGAAGTCATCAGCTTTGGTAAAAGTAATGCTCCTGACACTCTTGGCCCCTTGGCTTCACACAGCCACTCTTCTGTCAGGAATCTGGGAGTTATTTTTGATATTGCTTTTAAATTAGACAAACAGATAAATATAGTTTCTTCCAACTGAGACTTATTGCCAAGGTGAAGTCTTGTCTCCTTTTCAGAGACATTGAAAAGGTGATTCAGGATTTTATTACCTCTTGTTTGGACTCTTGTAACGCACTGTATGGTGGTTTAGATAAATTATCTTTACATCTCTTACAAGCTGTCCAGAACGCAGCCGCTCGTCTTTTAACAGCAACTAAAAAACACAAACACATAACCTCTATCCTGGCTTCTCTTCATTGTCTTCCTGTCCACTTCTGGATTGATTTTAAGATGTTATTGCTCGTTTTTAAAGTCTTAAAAGGTCTGGCCCCATCTTATTTATGTGATCTTCTTAACACCTACACTCCAGTTAGAGCAGTCCGTTCCACCAACCAGTTCCTCTTAGAAGTCCACAGATCCAGACTGAGGTCCAGAGGGGATCGGGTTTTTTTCATCTGCTGCTCCAACATTGTGGAACAGTTTACCTGATTATTTAAAGACTGCTGAGACTTTTAAATCTTGGCTCGACTCGTCTTTTCTTTGGTGTTTGATCCAGGCAGAGTCTGAGAACCAGTTAGAGGTGATTTTTCTTGTTGTTGTTTGTTGTATTTTATTATTATCTTTCTTTTGTTTTCTGAGTGGCACAATATGTATTTTTCTTTGTAATTTGACTTAATTGTAAAGCACTTTGGTCAGATTTTGTTGTTTTTATGTGCTATAGAAATAAATTGACATTGACAAGTGGAACTATGCCGACAGGATGCAAGCTGTAGACTAGAGCTGATGAAAAATCATGATGTATCGCTTAAAACTTTTAAAATAAAAGGATGGATGCAGTGGAGCAGCCTGACCTGAGGACAGCAGAAGAGATCCGCTCAGAGTCGGAGTATCAGCTGAAAGTCTGGAAAGGGTTCCTCATCTGTATTCCCTACGCAGCCAGCATTGGAGGCACAGCAACACTGACAGGCACCGCACCCAACCTCATCCTGATTGGACAGCTAAAAAGGTCTTTCTTCCAACACTTCAAACTCCAACTGTGTCACATGAAGACAGTTCTGACTGACAAATATTATTTTATCTTCTGCAGCTATTTCCCAGACTGCGACCTTATCAACTTTGGCTCTTGGTTTGCATTTGCCTTCCCACTGATGCTCCTCTTCCTGTTCCTGGGATGGCTTTGGATCTCTTTTCTTTATGGGGGCTTGAACACGAGGTAAAGCTGGTAAAGCTACGAGCCATAGATGACCAAAAACAGTGTTCTCATGACTGTATTTCATATTTTTGACACTAAAGCATCAATATTGCAGTCTCTTTCTGGTCTGGCCTTTATGTTTTGCATATGTAAAGCCAGTTTCTAGGATATCCACAGCAGGCTAGCTTGAACAAAGCCTATTTATATGACAGATTTTGTTGGCAGGCCTCAGACTGATGAAGTCTTTTGGATAAAAAATGAAATGTTTCTACCAAGAAGAATCTGTCCAGATGACATGATTTAACTATTTTGTGTGATCTACCAGGTTGTGTTTTGCAAGACATGACTGGAGATCTCAGGCAGAAGCTCGAGCCCAAGCTTTGATTCTTCAAGATTACCAGAAACTGGGACCACTAAAGTGAGGATCTGCTGTGTCTTCAGGTTTTGATGCAGAGAATGCAGAATGAGTACATTTATGTCTCCCTTCAGCTTTGCAGAGGGGGCCATCTCTTTCTTTTTCGTTTTGTTTGCCGTTCTTCTGTTCTCAAGAGATCCAAAGTTTGTTCCAGGCTGGTCAGTGTTTTTCAAGAAGGGGTAAGAAATGGATCTTGGCTGTGTTATGCTGCTTCTCTTCTTTTAAGATGAGCTTTAAAGACACCGTTGAGTGATGATTGTCTGGTTTTTATTTCTGTTTGTTGCAGGTACGTGTCAGATGCAGTCACTGGTGTGATCATCGTGTCTATTCTGTTCTTCTTCCCTTCTCAGAAACCTTCTCTGAAATGGTGGTTTGACCCAAAAGGTAAGTCAAACTAGAGATTTCTAATCAGGTTAATTCACTTTCATCTGTACGCCATTAATTACAAAATACAGAAACTATGCTGAGGAATGTTAATAATGAGGATTAGAAAGTTTTAGTGAATTTCCAGACTGTACGTTCTCTGTTTGTGTGATTAGTCTAATCTTTATAAACTGTGCAGTCATGCTTTGTGCGTACAGGAATACTTACTTTTTCACTTTTGAAAATATTTTATTTAGAGGCGGCTGTGGCTGAGTGGTCAGAGCAGTTGTCCTCCAATGCGAGAGTTGGGGGTTCGAATCCACCAGCAGTCACATGTCGAAGTGTCCCTGAGCAAGACACTGAACCCCTCATTGCCTCTGATGTGTGTCCCATCAGTGTATGAATGTGATAAAGCTCTGATTAGTCTCATTAGAAGGATTTGTTCAATTAGCTTTGTGGAGATCTAGTAGAGTGCTGTTTGAATGGGTAAATGAGGCACAGATTTTAGTGTAAAGTGCTTTGAGTATCTTGAAACAAGATAGAAAGGCGCTATATAAGTACAGTCCATTTACCATTATTATTATTGTGGTAAATGTTTCTTTAAAAAGGGGCAAAACCAAAATACAATAAAGGAAATCATGAAAGTTTAGTGTGACAATGGTTTTAAAGTTCGTTTATCATATTTTTGGGAATGTTCAGGGTATGTGTGTGTGTGTGTGTGGATTTTTGTTTTAGGTTACCTTGTAGGGATCAATTTCACAAAAAATCATGCATTATGGGAATCATCTGCTCTTTATGGGGACCACAGCCAGGTCCCCACAAGGAGAAGTCTTGTTGGGGGGGTTAGGGGTTAGGTTTAGGACTAAGGTGTGAATTGCAGATTGGTTAGGGTTAGGGTTAGGGTTAAGGTTAGGGTTAAGCTAGAGAAAATGAATGGAAGTCAATGCAAAGTCCCCTAAAAGTATGTTTACAGGAACACACGTGTGAATGTGTGTGTGTTTGTGGTGTGTGTGTGTGCGCGCGCGTTCGTGCGTGCATGTGTGTGTATGTGTGTGTTTTATGTTCAGCTGGTCAAACAAACCGGAGGACTCCAACGAGGAAAGATAAGAAACAAAGCAGGGAGTTCTGACTTTAATATGGATCAAATCTTTCAAAGAAGAGGTCAAGACATGATTTGATAAATGTACATTTGAAATCATATGCATAAATAAATACACATTTATGCCATATAAAGTGCATCTTGCACAGACTTAAAAGACATTAGATGTAGTTTTTTTTCTTTTTTATTAAAATGTTTTCTGATGAGAGCATGTTTCCTCAGCTTTGAACACTCCGTACGTTCCTCTGCTGTCGTGGAAGAAGGCCCAGGACTCTGTTCCCTGGAACATCATTCTCCTTCTTGGAGGGGGTTTTGCAATGGCCAAAGCTTGTGAGGTAAAGATACAGGATGTAATAATCTTTGTACTGTAGAGTCATAATCTACTCAATGTAAAGAATTTCTACTTGTGTAGAACTTTTGTTCTCTTGTAACCTTAACTCTTGTAAACCCAGTCGTTTCTGACGCAGAAGCTTTTTATAAACTATTCTATAAAAGTTATGGAAAAGGGCTGGGCCATTCTGAATGAATGAATGTGTAAAGATTTACTCAAAAGGCATTACTAAGTCCTCAAAATGTACAAGTGGAGTCCTGAATGCAATTCTCCATTAATTTTCCCTCCCTAATTCTCACCCCCCAAAAGAATTTCATTCAACCTTTATTTATACAGGCTAATCTTATTGAGTCACTATGAGAGTGGTGGCGCAGAGATTAGAGAAAGTGGGCCTGTGATCGGAAGGTCGCCGGTTCAACTCCCTGTACCAACAACATCAAAATGTGGGTAGGAAAGGTGAAACGCCCACACCTGTCTCCGCCTTAATTTGCCCCACTCTGGGCCCTTGAGCAAGGCCCTTTACCTACACCATCTGCTCCCTCAGGAACCCTAGATGGCAGCTCCCTGCTCCACACAGAGGGCTGTGGTAGCTCAGTGATCTGTGGTTGTCAGGAAGGACATCCAGCATAAAAAAAATTGCTGTCTTCCTGCAAGTTAATTTCCTGTGGTGACCCCTGAAGAATGGAGCAGCTGGAAGAAAAAAGTCTCAATGAGTCACGAGAACTCATTTTCTAGAGAGACCTGTTTGAGACAGGCAGTATATAAAGTGCATACAACAATAATTCAACAAAAAACAATTAAATAATATAATAAGTGTTGCGGAGGTCAAGCTTAGAGAAAATGGAGGCGGAGTGAAGTTGATCACAAATTGAGTCATTTAGTGGTAACAGGGATTTATTTTTAACAGTTATTTGAATGAGTCTTCTGTTATTATACAGGGTTGAAGGGATTTATCTTTATTAGACACAAAGACAAATACTGCCCCCACTGGGGATGTGGAGGGGCAGATGATACCAGAATCCAGAGGCTCATCAATGTAGATTTTCAGGGGCTCTTTTGGATCTGCCTGTTTGTAGAGCCAACTAGTGGGTAGAAGGTCTATATCACAATCATAGGGGCCATGAGGTAGTAATGATAAAGCTCTTTATTTGCTGAAAACAGAAACTAGGTCATGATAAATAGTGGGGACTTTAGATAAGTCTGTGTCTTTGAGTGCCATAGTTTTCTTTATAAATGTGGGAGCGGCTGCTTTTAAACAGTTTCCCAGACACACAAGTGCTCCATCTCTCCACTCTTTTCTCAACCCAGTTTATGATTGGGTTATGTTTTCTGAGCCACAGGAACCCAATAATTAATTGTGAGGAAGAGGAATCCAAAACAAAAAATTCACCCTCCTTGTGGTGATTTCTGGTGATGATCAGGTGGATGTTAAGTGTCTTGAATATCACACAGGCAAAACTTTCACTTGTATGTCCTGTCACTGTTAGGGGCTGCTGAAGTGTCTGAGTTGGGATGACCAGTCTCTGGTCTCTGGTCCACCAGATCTCTACTGATTAGATTCTGGTCAGGACCGGAGTCGATAAGAGCAGAAACAGATATTCTTTCATGGTTATTGGAAATTACTGTGGTTAGCAACAGTTGGGAAGTAGGAGAAATAGCAGAGCTTCCCACCAGTATCTCCTGTTTTACTGGTGAGGCGACTCATTTCCCTGGAGTGAGCAACGAGTGATGAAATGTCCTTTTTTTCTACAATAGATGCAGGCTTTACTTACAATTCTCTGTTGCCTCTCCTCAGGAGTGAGATGGGTTTGACTGACCTGCATGGGTTCTGGTTCTGGTTTGTTGACGTGGGGAACAATAGCATGAACATTTGGCATAGGCAGAACCCAGAAGTACAGGGGAGCTGGAAGTTGTAGTCCAAATCTCTTCTCTCTTGGAAGCGATTGTCGATACGTGTGGCCAGGTGGATTAGCTGGTCTATGTCAGGATTTTCGAGGCAGATCAGGACAGAAGAACCCAGTTGCGCAGGCAGGACTCAGGAGGCAGATGTATAAAATAAAATACTTTTAATAATAATAATAATAATAATAAATCAAAAGGCTGACATGGCAGCAAAACTTACATGGACTCAAGAACAAGATCACACAGGCAGGACAGGACAGGCAATACCCAACGACGAACCGACAAAGGAACAACACAGGACAGGAGGCTTATATACAAGGACAAGACAAGACGTGATTACAACAGCTGTGACGAGACAAAGGTGACACCAATTAAACTGACGAGAAAACAGACACAAACAGAAACAGCAAATAGTACCATCCTTACAGCCTAGGCTCTGAGGTTTGTCTCTGGTTGCTAATTGATCTTTAATTTTGTCATAAAGGGAATGTAAGAAGGTACCTCGGAGTACGGTTTCGTCCCATCATGTCCGGGCAGCGGTGATCCTGAACTCAAGGGCATGTTTAGATACCAAGTTCTTCCATTGTTTGAAGTTGAGTAGGCGCTTCACTGCCTCCACCTGCTAGAAAGGATGATCAAACACAAGTTGAAACTTTCGTAAAACAGGAAAAATTGAAAGCCTTTAGATAATGAGAGTCCATATACACATGAGCCCAACCTACAGTGTCTCTTTTTCATTGGCTAACGATGTACAATATTTTAGCTGCATCAGAGGAGTATAAGTTTGGGGCTGTCTTAAATGCCAGCTTGCATTGGAGTACCCCCCACCCCCCAATCGATCTGGGTTACTGTCAAAAAGTTCAGAAGGCTAGAGATTCTGCTCGAACACCACCGGTGAAGCAGGAAGGGCTGCAGGGCTCCGAGTGGCAGTCTCTGGAGAAGGTAGGAGTAATAATGACAGTTTCTGATTAAAGGCAAACATCATTCCGAGTTCTTTCAGGTTAGACCGATTGGTATTTTGTTGTGTGAGGATTTTTTCGCTCGTGTTTATTGATGCACCTGATTTGTGACATGAGAGAGTGTTGTAGTTGTTCATTTAAGTCACATTCTGTGTTTCGTCTGGCTGGTGCATTCTGTAAAGATTTTCTCAGTGCCCAGATACTAATGTGACAAAAGGAGAACAACTCCAATACCAGATAATATTTAACAGTGTTTATTTACAAAATGTGAAATCAACAGTTGGCTGCAACTCAACTGGGAGGGACTGGAACCCTGGAGAGTAAGGACAAGAGTTAAGATGACAGTTTGGATCCTTGAGTATGATTCAAGATGTTGTTTGTCTCACTGTTGGAGAAAAAGGTCATCACATGGGTGAGGGTCCAATAGTTCCAGTAGTCACAAACAAGGAGGTCCCAGAAAGGTTGCATAGACTGATGGTGGAAGTTGAGGAAGGACTTGAGGAATCACTAGGGGGCTTTCACGATGAAAGCAGGGAGGTCCAAGCCATAGAAGAAACACAGGAGTCAGTGCTGAAACAAGTGAGAACAAAGTTTAGCATTTACAAAACTCAAGTAATTGTAAAGTGGCCAGGAATACAACTACTGGTAGGCTGATAATGCACCAGCATCGAAGTGAAGTAATATACTGCCATTTATATTCCTGCAGCTCATTAGAAGAATGGTCCACAGGTGTATGCTTGTTGGTGCCATCTGGTGTTGAGGAATGGTAGGAGAAAAACTGGAACTCCTACAGAATTAATGAATGAATCGTGTCTGTGCATCACTGGGCAGGCCAATATGAGATATATTGATGCATGAGCAGCTAAAATGTATACTTCAGAACGTGATCCAGCCCGTAATCACAGGACAGAAGGATTATGTATGATGTCTCCCAGCTTCCATCTCACAGAGGTGGAAGATAATTTAAAGAAATTGTTTTTTTTTCATTCAACCTTTTTTTTTTATAAAGGTTAGTGTCATTGAGTCACAAGGATTCATTTTCAAGAGAGATCTGTTTTAGACAGACAACATAAAAAGTACAGTAAAAAATAAACAACAATAAAATGCAATAAAAATAAAAGTAATGTTATAAAACAATGAAATCTAGGTGCCTTTTAAATCAAGGTAAAATACTAAAAACAGGAACATGTTTGCTTTGATGTTTCTATTGACCTTATCAAATGTTTAGAATCCCTTAATGAAATCAAAGCGGACAGCTTCAGTTCTTGTTGCAAGGTGTTCCATGTTACAGGGGCAGAATAAGAAAAGGCTTTTTTGCTAAGTTCAGTCTGCACCGAAGGAACACCGCAGGTAATGATGGCCTGAGAGTGACGTTGAAATGGCACTGACGACGTGACATATGGGAAGAGATATAAGAAGGCAGCAGACCAAGGAGTGATTTACAGATCAAGATGTACCAGTGTGAGAGCCTACGAGTAGATAATGATGGCCAACTGACCAATGAATATAGAGTGCAGTGATGGGTATGGGAGTTGCAACCAGATTTTTCATTAATTCAACCTTTATTAATTTCAACCAGTTATTAATCTTAGCACACCATGGTAGACAGCATCCAACATCTACAAGCAGCTGGCAGGGGCATTCATGTAAACAATGTCACCATAATCAATAGCAGGTAGGAAAGTTGCAGCTACAAGTGTTTCCTGGCATTCAGAGTAAAACAAGATATATTTATAAAAAAGAAACTCAATTTCAATTTCAGTTTCTTTATCAAGTTTTTGATATCTGGTTTAAAAGAGACATCTGCATCAACTAAAATTCCCTAGTATTTGTAAGAATCCACAAACCCAATAGGAACATGATGCATGGATGTGATAGGAGGAAGAACTGCTGGCACCAACTTTCTCTTTGAAAACAACATCCCTTTGGTTTCCACAGCATTTAGCACAGATTTGAGATTGAATAAGTCTGACTGAATGATGTCAAATACAGACTGTAGAAGCTGGAAAACCTTTACCACTGTGTTACCTCGACAATAAGCAATTGTATCGTCAGTATAGAGATACAAGGAGGCGTCAAGAATATTTTGACCTACATTACTTATATAATTTGTTTTAAAAAAAATTTAAAAAAAGAAGTGTCC